TACTGTCCCATCCACCCAGCTGCGTGAATGACAGCTGGCTCTGCCTATCTAGAGACACCGCCTGTCCGTTCCTCCACTCAGCGCTGGAGGATCGGAGAAATTCTGTAGGGAGCAGTGACTGACAGTCACCACTCTCTGCAGGGACATGATCGAGAAGTGAGCCGGCGCGTGACAGTTTCATTGTCACACGTCGGCTCGAACTATGAGGATGAGTGATTTTCACTCACCTCGTAGTTCTCCTTTAAGTTGTGAGGTGGGGCCTCCATCGATTGGAATTGCTTTTTCCAGCACAGATGCACAATTGGATTGAGATTTGTAGGCCAAGTCAACACCTCAACTTCATTGTTGTGTTCCTCAAACCATTATTGAACCATTTTTGCAGTGTGGCAGGGCGCATTATCTTGCTGAAAGAGGACACTGCCATCAGGGAATACCGTTTCTGTGAAGTACTTGGTCAGCAACAATGTTTAGGCCGGTGGTACGTATCATAGTAACATTCACATGAATGGCAGGACCCAAGGCTTCCCGGGAGAACATTGCCCGAAGCATCACACTGCCTCTTCCGGCTTGCCTAATTCCCATAGTACATCCTGGTGCCATCTCTTCCCCATGTAAGTAATATACACGCACCCGGCCATCCACATGATGTAAAAGAAAACATGATTCATCAGACCAGGTCACCTTCCTCCATTGCTCTATGGTCCAGCTCTGATGCTCATGTGCCCAATGGCTCTTTTGGAGGTGGACACGGGTCAGCATGGCCACCCTGAACGGTCTCCCATACACAACAAACTGGATGCACTGTGTGCTGGCTATTGTATTCTGACAGCTGACACCCGTTGCTGTCGTAATACACAAACAGGGACTGCAGCTGATTTGTTGCAGTCACTGTTCGGCTGGCAATTTTCAGCCCAGCTCCTTCGACAAAGCTAACTCAGCCAAAATTTGAGCAATGTATGGCCAGCCTAATGTGACTGTGTTCTTAGCTGGTCCCTGCTGCCTCTCACCTTGCCAGCTCCCAGAAGTTACAGATCATTAGGGTTGCCAGATAGGATTTTAGGATACAGTCATTGTCAGCTTTAAAGCCAGCCAAAAGTCCTTTATTCCATATTTTAAAAACCCAAAATAGAAGCGTACATGCCTTGTCAATTTAGAGCGCAACTTAAGACTAAAAATTATACATCAAAAATAATCACTTTTATTACTGGATGACATAAAGCATAACCAATGCGTTTCAGAGGATTAAAGCTCCCCTTTCTTCAGGGCTTTGGTGGTGTTAGATCTGTCAGCTGTGGGCACTGCAGTCTGTGTCCTAATACAACGGCAAACACTATGGAACAATTATCATATCACGACACCGACCTGTGCCCATAGCGGACTCATCTAATACAACTCGACCCCTTTAGATGGGGGAGCCGCAAACCGCTGAAACGTGGTAGCTATATTTTATGTCATACACTAATAAAAAGTGATCATAATTCTGCAATACTTTTTATTCACACGTACAGAGCTCCACACTCACCCGCATAACATTGTCATATAACAATCCTGGACATACCACAGCCAGGTACTAACTCTTATCCAATCATTTATTGATGATTAATAGCCAACATGTGGTATAAAATGATAAAATCTGCGCTTATGGGTTAAATTGGAGTGTAATCAAAAGCTGCTGCACTGTGGACACTAATGTCAAGAATGGTTATAGTCATGAGTGTGCAGCGCCAAGGATCGGTGGCAGGTTTAATATATTAATATTGTGCAATAATAATAGTAGTAAATAGTTGACCTAAAGTCATCAAGTGTATTACTGTCTCAGTGACAACTTAGATAATAATAATAGGATGGCACAATGCCTGTGCATCAAAATGTATGTGACCTGTGTGTCACCACGTGAATCATTATCTTCATAGCAATTATTTCAAAGGTGCAACAAACTATAGTAGTGCTGTTGTGCAGCTACATAAAAGAATATAAGAGGATAATAGTGTACTCAATATGGTAGCAACAAATCCAAACAATCACAGATAATTTTCAATCTGACATTAAATAATAAGCAGTATTGGTAAATTGAGTCCAAAGTGAAAAGCATCCAAAAAGTGCTTGCAAAAACTTTTCCCACACCATGTGTTCGTGTCCACGCCTGCCCCCAAGGGGTGCGCACTCACCACAAAGTGAATCAGTGGGTCCACGTTCCTGGCCTCCGTCACAGCAGTGTCCCATCAGTCGGTGGATGGCAGAAATTACAAAAGGAAACTCCTCATGGTGTAGGAAGTATAATCATTTATTTAAAAGATTTTTTTCCCCGGGGCCTGTGTCAATTACATCAATTTGAGGCACCTCTGCGATCATGAAGAACTCACCGACAGGTGATAAGCTCCTTTAAGTGGATTTTGCATTCGTAGAGGCTTGATATAGAAACAATCTGAAGCCAACAAAAACCCGTCGACAAAGGCTAACACAGCCTAACCCGTCTAACACAGGGGTGCCCACAATTTTTGGTGTTAAGATCTACTTGTTAAATGACGAGCTACATGAGATCTGCCAACGAAACAAAAACCACATGTATTTGAAAAAAAACACATTAAAATGCTTACTGGGACTACTGCATGTATCTTCCTATTGAATAAACCTAATAATATTTTCAATGTTAACAATGAACTCAAAATGCCCACAGCACAATAGATTTCCGCGTTCTGGTGACTTCAATTTACTTTATTGTAAACGCAGGGGGGAGTTTACAATGCGATACAGTGCGTTCCAGCAGCTAACCACACTGGAACGCACTGCAACTCGTGTGAATTAGCCCTAAGCACCATCCTAAATCCTTGTTTTTTTTTAATCAGGCAATATCACGTCATATTAATACTAGAAATAAAATGTCATATCTGTGCTCCATGCTTTGGGCCTGAAATATTCCTGGGTATCAGATTTAGCTAAGTGTCATATTGGCAGACTCCACATTCAGATATAGGCCACACTTAGAGCTCTATACTGCTCAGCCACTTACCTATACATGTTTTTTGGGTAGTGCCATGGGCAGTATGGGGTTAACACCTGTAAGTTGTCAATAGAAACTACCTGCTTCCACAACCCTCTGGCTCTTCAGGCGCGCTGGAGTATCCGACACTGAAGGTGGAAAGGTGTGTCCAAAGCTGCAGGCGGCAAAGTTTATTGGAGGCTGCAGACAGGGAGGGGCGGGCCGAATGTCTTTGCAGGCGGTTAGAGGCAACAGTTAATTGGAGGCAGCAGACAGGGAGGGGCGGGCCGAATGTCTTTGCAGGCGGCTAGAGGCAACAGTTTATTGTAGGCTGCAGACAGGGAGGAGCGGGCCGAATGTCTCTGTGGGTGGGTAGATGCGGCTATGTTTATTGGACGCTGGAGACCGTGAGGGTCGGGCCGAATGTGTCAAATGCTTCTGCGTCTAACACACTCAGTCACACTAAACACAGTGGGACAGAGTGCGGGAAAGGGAGTCGACCCGCGATCTACCAGCTTTAGCTTTGCGAATGACTGGTAGATCGCGATCAACCTTATGGGCACCCCTGCTATAACACGTCTTTATTTTGTTAAGCTGGCCATACACTATACAAAATTTGCACAGCGGGTGCCGGTTAGAAAATCTTTGAACGAACAGAGAGGGCAACCAATGAGCTTCTCCAGTAGGGATGTTTAGATACCAAGTAACATACTCGGTACAAGTACAGATACTTTTCCAGCTCCAAGACTACACTAGAGAAATACTCAAAAGTTAGGAGGCAGCTGTCATTTGTAAGGAGAGAGTGTGAGAGTGTTGCACCCACCGATACCATTTTCCAACTACAAGTACTGATACTTGTCCAAGTCCTCACAGATACAAGTACTGATACTTGTCCAAGTCCTCACAGATACAAGTACTGATACATTTGTTTAGTGTCATGTGACAGTTTTTCTAAAGCAATACAGACTAACGATATCAGGACAGTGTTGGAGCGCCAGAGCCCGGTCCCAGCTGCAATCCTGGTAGTTCTCATGAAAATGCCAAATATCGGCGCTGGTATCTGAACATCCCTATTCTTCAGTGTATTCTGACAGCAGGAGATTCCTTGATCAATGCTCATAGTGTTGATGAAGGAATCTGTTCAATGATTTTCGTTCGGGACAGGCAATGAACGAAGAAAAAAAAAAAAAAGAGAAAAAAACCCCAAACAAGAAAAAGTATGGCCAGCTTTAAGTTAGTTTTAGCTTATTCTCAGTAATCCATCCACATGACAAAGCAAGTATGGAAATGAAGTTGCGGCTGCATGTCCTTGGTTATAAGCGCCCATTGCTGTTAAAGGCAGGAAGTCAGTTTTCCTAGCCACTGATATGCTGTACACAGAAACAGGCACACCAAAATACATACACATGTATGCCAATTTAATAAAAGAACTCAAGACATGTATAGAATTAATAGATTATCACTTGTAAAGGATTGGAATAGGAAAAAAAAGTCAGATATCGGGCCAATGTTTAAAACAATGAATAAAATGTTTTCTGCAGTCATTTCATCTGAAGCGTCTGTAAAAGCAGGAGGTAGTCCTTCCTTGTACCCGGTCCCCACAGCACACAGTTAGAAGCCTTGTCCTCCTTACTGCTCTGTGATGGGGAATAAGGATGACAGGTCACCACTGAGATGGTGGTCAGTACATACCAGGTACCCAGTTCCAATAGCTCTTTAGCTAGAACACAAACATTTGCCGTTGGGTATGTGGTAAAAGGTGGCATTAGTAAAATAATTTATAAAAATCATTGGGGGGAATTTATCAAAACTGAAGCAGACGAAATCTGGAGCAGATTTGCACTGCAGCCAATCAGCATCTCTTTCATTTTCAAAATGTAACTGAGCAAACTGAAGAGAGAAGCCGATTGGTTGCCATGCACAGCTGCTCCAGATTGTTTGCTCCAGTTTAGATAAATTCCCCTCATTGAGTTCTAGTTAAAAATGACTAAAAATACATTTACACAGAGTGTGCACAGCAAGAATGGCACATGATTGTACTAAAATACATGAGGTTATGTAGTGGATTGGACCTCTGTCTGGGACTCCAGGCTTTCCACAACAGTCTTTAAAAGCTCTTCATTCTGGAAGAAGTATACATAAACTTGTTTCTCCAGCTTGTCAAACTTGCTGGACTCCAAGACCTTCCTCTTTACTTTGAGATCTCCGAGAACCTCCAGTAAAATCCGGTTGAGTTTGTCTAGATTGGCGTGTAAATGCTGGAAATTAGCAGACACCTCCTGAAATGAGAAGAAATAGGCAAAGTCAAATGATAAAGCCCATTATATCAAAAGGTTTCCTTTCCTGAAAAAGAGAGAAATTGAGAGGCTACCATTACCTTCTGGAAATGCAAACTGCCCCGGCCCTCATTCTTTTTTTTTTCCCATTCAAAATGTTTTATTTTATTGGTTTGGCACAAAGATAACAAAATACAAAAACACAGAAAGAAAGAAATATCACCAACATGGGGTACATTCCGCCAAACTTGTTTGCTGCACAAAATATTCATAGTACAAAGCATCACAAAATCGGTAAAATCTGTTATCACATAGGGACTGTAAATCAATCTGTGGACCCCTCAGCTCGTGGTACACTCCCCCGGTCCCAGGACATCATGTATCTTGTCACCTTAGCCGCTACTTCAACCCCACTTCCCCCCTGGGGACCCCACACCCTTGCTCTATTTGGTCTTGATGGTCCTCCGACCCCCCGTTGGCCTCTACATAAAGGGTATCCCTTCTCGCCCTGTTACCCTGTCCCCTCTCTCTAATGTTGTTGTACTCAGTGCTACAGCAGACCATCCAGGGCGCCCAGATTTCTGCGCATCTGTCCATACGATCGTGCTTGGTCGCCAGGAGCTCCTCCATCTCACAGATGTGCCCCACCTGTTGGATCCATTCCCTCACCGTGGGAGGTCTAGTCTCCTTCCATAGTCTTGGTATGAGCGACCTAGCAGCATTGATCATATGTTTCTCCAGGGATTTAGCTGGGTTCCCCCTGCTCTGTTCATGAAGATGCAACAAGAAAACCTCTGGGGAATATTCCACCTCTCCTCCTAGGATCCTACCCATCAGTCAATGTATCCCCCTCCAAAATGGTTGGAGGGAGGCACATGACCAAAAGATATGTATCAAAGTTCCGCTCTCTGTTTTGCAACGCCAGCATTCTGCTGGGATTGTGGAGTCCATCTTATGCAAAATCTCAGGCGTTCTATACCAACGAGTAAGTATTTTGAAATTGGTCTCTTGTGCTTTACTGCTTACTGACCATTTGTGTGCCCCCCAGCAAATATTTTCCCAATTCTTCTCTGAAATCTGCTGTGCCAAGTCAACCTCCCATCTCCTTCTCATAGTCCGTGTTCGTAAGGGTGTAGAGCAATAATGCATAGAGCCAGGAGATCAGATGCATGGAAGGTCCCCGATCATTCTGATCCAATGTCTTTAAATTTCTTTTCAGCCTCTAACCTGGAGCAAGCATGTAGAAGCTGACTCAGTTTGCTGCATGCTTGCCCCAGGTCAGTGGCTTGTTTCTGGTCAGCAGATTAATAACTATTAGAATAAAGTCAGAGGATCAGCATTACTGCCAGGCAGCAGAATTTGAAGCACAGGTTTCTTTTACGCTAAATTATGCTATATTTGTAATACATGAACAATACATTAGTGAGATAAAATGGCTGAATTCACAACAATATCTTCAGCCAATAATGAAGGAGCATCATCACGCTGCCCAGAAAGCAAGCAGCTGACATGGGTATAAGAATGACAAAACTGGCTGAGCAGAATTACAAATCCTTTAAAAACCTAATTCTAGTTCACATATATAAAGAGAGCTCAACTTTGGGGGCTTAGTCACACCATAGCGTTTGCGGTAATGCACACTGAGGGGAAGTTATCAAAACTGGAGCAGACAAAATCTGGAGAAGCTGTACATGGCAACCAATCAGCTTCTATGTTCAGTTAAAGATTTTCAAATGAAAGTTAGAATCTAAATGGTTGCCATGCACAGCAGCTCCAGATTTTGTCTGCTCCAGTTTTGATAAATTCCCCCCATTATACCCTCAACTGAAAAAAGGTTACTAACCACATCATTAAACACGTCCCCAAAATATTGCTACCGCCTGGCAGGCATGAACTGTGAGGCGTTTCCTGAGAGCAGGAAGAAGAGCCAATTCTGCGGGAGATAAATTCACTATTCATGAGATATAAAGGCTTTCTATAGTTAAAAAATGTAAAGCTTTTTACATCTCTGTGATATTTATGTATCTGATCTGAATATTTGGGTGAGAAAATGTGTAAGTTAAAATAGAAAATGTAGTTAAACTAATATAACTTAGTTCATTTGTAAAAGAGAACTATGGCCAAACCTTTTTTGGGGTCACAGGAGGACATTTAGTAATGTCCTCCTGTGACCCAAAGTCAGCGTACAGCAGGCTATCGCCCGCTATATTCTGGCAGCGCAGAGCAACGCTGCACCTGGAAGGATCATGACAATATTGTCAGAATCCATCCCACTGCTTGATTGACAGCTGGCAGAGCCAGAGCAAGCTGTGCCCGCCCCCTCCATCTGTCCCTCCAATAAGGGCTGTTGGATCAGAGAGAGGGGAGGGAGGGAAGCCTGCAGGGAGCGGTGACTGACAGTCTTTGCTCTCTACATGGAGAATGAGTGATCTGAGGTTTGTAAACGCTCAGTTCTCGATCTATAGAGGTGATGTGTGATAGCTGCAGTTTTCCACGCTGGCTCTAAGTATGGAGATGCGTGCATTTCACTCTCCCCATATTTCTCATTTAATAGATTTTTCTAGCAAGATCATCCCAAAAAGTTCTCAGTGTGCTCCCGTCCAGCTTGTTGTCTCACTTCTCTTGGTCTACTCTAAATTAATTGAAAATAAATCCAACAAGATGAATGGGAAAACCAAATATTAAAAAAACACCGTAAGGAACGCAGAACTGATGAATGAAGCACAGAGATCTCACCAGCGAAGGGACAGAGAGTAGGAAGAAGAGATGAGCTTAGAGCAGAGGGACAATGATGGGGAACTAGCCACACAGCAAAGGCCATCTACTGGTGCTCTGTGACACCTGTGCCATTAGTATACCATGTATGTAAAATAACAAACCACCACAACTTTACAAAAAGTGGAAAATAATGGAATACAATTGACCCAAAACCATTTGATTGCAGGCACACCATAACCCTTCAATAAAATCCCTATACTGTATTTCTAACTCACCGGGGTCTGCAGCATTAATTCGTTCCCATCAGGATACATAAAATCTTGCAGTGATTTCATATTTGTCTCCAGCTTTGACAGGAGAAAGGACTGTTCTTGCTCACAAACAGCTAGCTGATTTTTTACAGAGTGGACTTCCTGGGACAATTTCAGAGCAACGGATTCCAAGCTGCTGTACGTTCTGAACAGTTTCTGTGTGTCATCTCCATCCAGAAGCTGGAATAACCTGCAATACAGAAGACCTCAAATAAAGTGGCAGTAATGCAATAAACTAGGCAGACCACTGGTCCTGCATGCATCCGTTACTGCAGTGTGCCCTTATAAAACCAAATATCACCATGTCAGCCATAGATAGTGGCAGAAAAATTAAAATGTCAGCAGAAAAACCTTTGGCTAACGTAAAGTGACACTAAACTCAGGAGGTTATCCTTAAAAATATATTCAAGTTCTAGGCATTCTATTAAAAAAAATTAGGGCTGTGCAAATTAACGATTAATTTCTCGATTAATCGTTAATCTTTTTGATTGAGTAAAAAATGTTTGATCGATTCAATTTTTTTTGAAACTTTCTGCACGAGCGCCAGCCAAGGCATTGGCCTATACACATACAGCACAGCAATGAAGTAATAAAATGAACTAGGATCACACTAATCCAGCACGTTATTATTCTGAGTTGCCCCACTCAAGCGGCGGCCATATTGAGTGGGGCACGTGAGATTAATAACGTGCTGGATTAGTGTGATCCTAGTTCATTTTATTACGTCATTGCTGTGCTGTATGTGTATAGGCCAATGTAGTTGGATCTGTATGTGCGTTATAATTAATCGATTAAACAAAATTTCGATTAATCGAACACGAAAATTTTAATCAGTACCAGCCCTAACAAAAATGTATCTTATTTGTGTATCACTCGGCTGTAGATCCTCAAATCATCTCTGAATTGGTGCGGACACTGTCCTTCCTTCTGGAGGGGGGCTACTTTTGTTCCCCATGGTCCCTGTGTGTGTTGTAAAGTAGTCACCGCTCCAAGCTCACTCCTGTGATGGACCACACTCTCATGTTTTTTGTATTGAGAATGTAGTCCATCACAGGAGGGAGCTTGGAGCTCACTCCTGTGATGTTAAGGTACTTAAAAGCATTTGTCAGATTTAACGCCTGAGTTTAGTGTCACTAACATATTTTGAGCTAAAGCTTATGAAAACACCTAGTTCACGAGTTTGCATAGTTTTATACGATAACTAAAAAATTATACTTCTATATACAAACACAAGTACAGTGAACAGTAAAAAAAAAAAAAAAACCCAAATGCATGAGACCCGTGGGAAGAAGCTTTTCCTCTGTACAGAAAATGTCACTGTGATAAGTCCAATTTTTTAAAGGCCATTTTTTTTAGTTCAAAGCGTGTGCGGTACATTAGGGTATTCTCGGTTACTAGCAGTAAAAGTTGCACCCCACAATACATTTAGTTGGCCAAATGAAAAGTGTTGCCTACATTTTTACTTCCCTAGAAAAATTCTTGGCAATAACACTAACAATGTGTGCATGTCCCTTCAATGGGTAACTCAGAATAGTGAAGTGAAATGACTTTGGCTTTAGATTTGCATTTCCAGATCTGTGCTAAGACGTTGTGGTGAAGCCCAAGAACTGGCCACATGTTAGAATTTGGATAAGGGTTTTAAAGTATGTGATGCTCAACCCTGATAACACACCTTACAATCCCTTATTTTTAGCAAATTGTATTGTAAGATGTTTTATGGTATGGTTATTTCAACGTAACATTGTTAGACTGTGACCTATGCAGCCAGCGTAAGAAACTTGTCGATGTTGACGATAAAAATATCTTGAATTACCGCCTCCCTGTCAGCTGTATGCAGATATGTACCAGCATGGTGGGTGTCACCATTTACGATCAGGAGCTTGTGGGACTGCCTCCTGATCATGTGGCCACTATAACAGCCAATCTAAAGCAGATAGCAATATCAAACTGTAACATGTTGTAGAAAGAGGCTGCAGCAACAAAGAAGAAGGGAGGGAAATAGACTTTAGAAAAGGGAGCAAGTCTGCAGAGACACAGGAGCGGAGAGTGTGACAGGGCAGACATTCAGTCCCTGTTTACACCTAGGCGTTTTGTAGCTCAAAATGTGGAGCTACAACAACGCTGAACACCAAGAATCCCATTGTTTTCTATGGCCCCTGTTCACACCTAAGAGTTAAGTTGCCTGAAGCAAAACGCCGGTCACTGGAAAAAGTTATTATAAAACATGTTGGTCTAAAATTTCATAGTAAAGTTGTTTTTATCTCTATGTACATGGTATTAATATTTTGTCTGCGAATTAGTGCCTCGTTCACACCAGATGCAGTGCGTTCCGGCCCAATTCTGGCCAGAACGCACTGCCTCGCATTGCAGCCGGCTCACTTTGAGGGGCAGGAGGGGGCGTGGTGGGCCATTGAGGTGAATGGCACCGTAGCCACACCCTCCGACCGCAATGCGATCGCCACACGGGATCGCAAGGCACATTGTGCCCGCAGTCCGGTGCGATCAAAATGCTGAAAGCACTACTCGGTATACTGAGACGCCGCAGCTGAAGCAGATCCCGACAATTATGTCTGGATCCGCCCAGCTGCGTGAGTGACAGCTGGCTCTGCCTATCTAGGAGGCAGAGCCAGTTGTACCCGCCCCGTTCCGCGCAGGCGGATCGGAGCGGGGGGAATCCAGCAGAGAGCTGTGACAGGATCGAGAGGTGAGCGAACGCCGGTATGTGTTCGCTCACTTCCCGATCTACTGAGCCGACCTGTGACAGTCTCATTGTCACAGGTCGGCTAGAACTATGAGGTGAGTGCTTTATTTATAATATTGGCAAAAATCACTATTTTCCTTTCTCCCGGTTATAGAAGACTCAAAATACCTCTAAGAGCAATTATGTAGAAGGTAAGAGGCCATATACATACCCATGAGAAGATGTGTCTTTAGAGTCAATGTTAGTCCTGGGTTTGTCTGCCGATAACAAAGTGTCATCGGACATCATCAGTAGCCTGGTCTCCAGTCTCTCTGCATCTTGTCTCAGGTCTCCAATTGTCATCTCCAATTGACGGTTAACATTTCTTTGCTTCCTCAGTTCCAGTTCATATCCAAGCTGGAGAAGCTCAAAAGAGGCCTTCTGCTTCATCAGATGGTCGCACACCACGTCCTGTCTTGATAAATATAAATTGTGATGGGCAATCTGCACATCGTAGTCTCCTTTTACGACCGGCATATTCAATAACTGGGCCCTCTCCCGGACCAGCGCTGGAAGCGCGTCTCTGTTAATGGCAGCAATACGATTCTCAATCTGGGATGACTCTTCCTTTAAACTTGAAATGCGGACCTTTAGTGCGTCTTTGTGGACATCCTTCACAACACAAGAAGAAAGTGGTCAGACTTCTCTCCCAACCTACCCTCCTTTCCCTGCTCTTCTCTATCTCTATGTTCAAACGTCCGTTTGTAGAAGGTATTCCGAGGTGTTGGCGAGAATCACGTTAGATTACTTAGTCTATAATGCGAGCGGGCTAACCCTTTTGACATATTCCTTACACACCATGTTTATGCCTTATCATTTTGTGATATGTAAGCTGATAAAATCCAAATATGCATACTGGCCTTAGGTTGCCAGTGCCGACCCAACAATGTTATACTCTTGACCCCATGTCTTACATTGTCATGTATTACAATGTTTGAGTATTGTTTTGAACTGTTTGAATACTGTTGGAAAACTAAGTCAACACTAAAGTTGCATAGCAAACCCTAGTCATTCACTGCAACTAAAAACTATTGCTACCTATAGATTGGAGGAAGCCCCCATCTACAAGTGAAATGGACACTGGGCATCCGGTCCACCTGTACAGTAATCCCAGGCAGTGTGTTATCTATTGTGTGCCCAGGATACCGGAGCCTCAGATACACAAGGGACTTTCCCATAAAACTAAGCTGCTTGCGGTGTTGTCCCCTGGCAGTACACATGGCACAAGAATACAACTTCTAAACTAACTATTTATTAATAGCAGGCAACTGCAGGTGCCTGCATGTACCTTCAGATCCTATAGCAAAGCACCCCAAGAGCTTTATTACGCAACTCTGGACTGTTGCAGAGAAAATCAAACTGCTGCTTGTACCCCCCTGATACTTTAGTGAAACAGGGAGCCTAATTGCTCAACAGTGACTGAATGGGTTGGACAAGAGCTTGACTCTCTCTGCAGAAGTCCAGATTTTATTAACAGAGCACCTTTCAGACGTATTTGCCATTCAGGGCAAAGTGACAAGTTTTACTGTCGGCCCAGTCCCTCACCCATTTTGAAATGCTCCCATGCTGCTTCGTTCCTCCCTTGAAGTCATGTGCCCAAAACCTACGCAAGCATAGAAGCGTGCACTGGGTTGATGACACTGGTCAGGCCCGGGGATTGAACCATGAGCATTGTATACTGGAAGAAGGGGAGAAAATCACATGGTCCCCCACCCCATTAAAACGCCTGGCAACTCCTCCAGTTCCAGTGAATTAGGTAAAAGATTCTCGTTAAGGCCCCATTCACACCAGATCCATTGAGTTGCGATATGTTGAAAAATGAATGGGACCAGTTCACACCAGTAAGATACCTTTCGCAAGCTCTATTTTTTTTCCAGTATGAGGTAATGAGACAAAAATGAATGTTATCGCAACGCAATGGAGCGAAAGTTAAATGCGACGTACACTGTACGTCGTCAGTCACGAAGGGGTTAAATAAAAATACATAGATGTTTGTCCACTCAGGGCATGCTAAATAAAAAATAAATACGGAAAAAAAGAGAATAAAAAAACCCTCCAAAAAACAAAACCCCACCAACAGAATGGAAGTCAACGGAGTTTGAGGGCTCCAAGCTCACTCCTGTGATGGACTACAATCTCAATACAAATTAGTAAATTAAACCTGAAATTGTAGTCCATCACAGGAGTGAGCTTGGACTGGTGACTACTTTACAACACACTCAGTGACCATGGGGAACAAAAGTCGCCCCCCTCCAGCAGGAAGGACAGTGTCAGCACCAATTCAGAGATGATTTGAGGATCTACAGCCGAATGATACACAAATAAGATACATTTCTGTCATTAGTTAAAGGAGAACTATGGGGTTAAGGCTTTTCCCCATAGTTCTCCTTAAGGCAGGGGTCTCAAACTCAATTCCCTCGAGGGCCACTAGACAAAATTGTTTCTCCCATGGGGGCCCCTCGCCAAATTTCAAACTTTAAAAGGAGAACTATGGGGCGAGTGATTTTCACTCAGCCTCATAGTTCGAGCCGACGTGTGACAATGAAACTGTCACACGTCAACTCAATAGATCGAGAAGTGAGCGAACGCATACCGTCGCTCGCTCACTTCTCTACCCTGTCCCTGCAGGGATCCCCCTCCGATCCTCCAGCGCTGACTGGAGGAACGAACGGGGGAGAGGACGGGTACAGCTGGCTCTGCCTCTAGATAGGCAGAGGCAGCTGTCACTCACGCAGCTGGGGGGATCTCGACAGTAATGTCGGGATCCCAGGGGTGTGGACATTTAAAAAAAAAAACTACTTGTCCAAAGGCTAAAGTGGGGGCCCGATCCACTTGTCCCTCATGACAATCTACTTGTCCTGATACAAAAAAAATTAATTTTACCCAAAACCAAGAGATTCTCATTGGTCAGTGGCATCAGGTGACCGCGCTGACCATCGAGTGCTTGCAATTTGCGAGCGAAATTGAGAATACATGGCAGAGTTACAGATAGTACACCCATATTGGCGGATGGGAAGAACCGTTCCCTGAAAGGTAAGTATAGTGGGTGTGAGATTTGTGCGGGTAATTCCATTTTTCCAAATTACTTGGGAAAGTGAATTTACCCTTTAGGGCTGGTGCAGACTTGGGCGATCGTGTGCAGTTGCATGCAGCAGTTACAGCGCGGCCGCATTGCTTTCAGTGGAGTTACATACGTGTGGCAATCACTGAAAAAAGGTACACGTACCCTTTTTTCGCAACACGCACCATGCAGTGTTTTTATCCGTGATTTTGTCTTGATTGCACGGGTGGTATTGTGGCAGAAAACCGCACAATCTGCCAGGCGTGACTGGGGTGCCATTAGACAATAATTGTGTGATTCTGTGACCGCTAGGCCATCCACACGATTTTGTGCATGATTGCCGTGCGGTAACGGATCACCCACTCCACTCACACACAATACCTCATGCATGCAGATGGTGGGTGCAGCGGGGTTTTTACATTTTATTTTACTTTGTAATATTGGTTATTTTTAATTCTCATTTTTATTTATTTTTTGATTTAATCGCCTTTTTATTTTTTCCATTTTTATTTGTCATTAATTTTTTTCTCACTTGACTTTATTGCTATTACACAAGGGCTAACAAGCCCCAGTGTGAAAGCATTTGGAGGCGACAGGTTCTCTTTATTGACCGTCACCTCCAACAGAGGAGTTCTAGCACAGCACTGTGCTAGTTCTTCTGTGACAGGAAGGCTGCATTCCTGTATCACTGCAGAGAAGCGTTCTCTGCTCCGTGCTGTAACCTAATATAATTTGCCTGGTCCCGGGTCCCCCACAAAAGGGGGGACCCCGAAGACCATGGCAGAAAAGAAGCCAGCGTGCAGCCAGGAGAGGTACATGGCCGGCCCGCCGAAGATAGAGAGGGGAGGAGGAGCGAGATTCAGGCTCGTTACAAGTGATTTTGGACGGCTGTACAGCCGTTCAAAATCACTTGTACGAAACGGCTCCCACAATACATTTAGCCGTGCTGCTTGCCCGCAGCCGGGCCAAATGTAGAAAAAAACTACTCGCCCAACGCCCGAAACTGCCAGTCCCGGGCGATAGGAATTCCACACCCCTGGATCCGTCCCGGCAGCGGCGGTCTCAGTATACCACGAGCTGTAGCTCCCGGTATACTGAGCTTTGGGTGACGGGAGGACGCTAGTTCATGTCCTCGCGTGACCCTGAGGAGCACTATGGGGAAAAGCACTTACCCCCATAGTTCTCCTTTAAAATAAATGCATATGTGTAGGTTTAGGTGCAATGAGGGATTCCTGCGTCAGAAACTTGCGTTTTCCTGCAGCAGGAATCCCTAATCTGTTTACACGCGGCCGCTGTCACCTATTCAAGTTAATGATCAGGTGACAGCAGTTGCATGTAAATGCCTGAACACCGCATGTAATGATATGTGATATTATTACATGCGGTTAGAAAACACTCTCCCTGGATACACAATCATTGCGTCCAGGGAGAGAGATTGATTCCTAACCGAATGTAATAATATCATATACCACTACATGCGGTATTCATTAACTTGAATAGGCGACAGCTGCCGCTTTTAAACGCGAGATTAGGGATTTCTGATGCAGGAAACGCATGTTCCTGATGCAGGAATCCATAATTGCACCTAAAGATACAGGTGTGAATGGAGCCTTAATAA